CTAAAAAAACACAAGAGGCCAGTGCAGGAAATAAGAGTATAAACTGGCAGCCTCTCAAAAGAACTCTTACTGATCAAAACACAGAAACCTCAGTTCACATGTACAGAAAATGTACATTAGGTGATTAGTATATTAGTATTAGTATAACTAATAACCAGAAAATTTTTAGTCCAAAGAGTAAGTAGCAACTGCATACACACACAAATACCAGTACACTCAAAACTATCTGGGTAAAGCACAAGACTTAAAAACAAATAACTCAGGTAATAAATCTAAAAAGTAACAATGAGAAACAGTTAATATGTATATCTCCTCTCTTCTCAACAAACACTGTGCTGAAACTGGTCAAACAAGAAGCAAACTTAGGACGCCCCCATCTCTTGCAGAGGCAAATCTACTCTGGAAAAAAACAAGTAACATTTAAAGATCAGAACCACAGATATTAAAGTATAATTTAGTGAAATACAAAGTAAGAAAACGTAAGAAAACAGTCAGTTTGACAGTCAGTGAAAAGTTACTTAACAAGAATCTGCTCTGTAACAAAAATGTCTAACAAAGAACAGTCAAGAAAATACTCCAAGACGGAAAAACAACCCTCAAAAGTTTCTTCAGCACATACACAGAACTTCAGAAGCCAGAAAGGGACCTCTAAAACAAGCCCTGCACTAATAATATGACACCATTACAGAAAGCTTTCACTGATATACATTTGGCAGTAAGGAGTCACTGTAAACTCTTAGCAAGTATTTGTAAATTACCTGACAATCACATATAGTCACTGTGAAAGATGACCTAGAATTAGGTACATTAATCCACATGAGAAAAATGAGTAACCAGTTAAAATGTATGAGGTTGTTTGAAAATGCTTATTTTATTCCCTTCTATCAAATTCTAAGTGTATTTTTGTTGTTGTTGTTAATCTTCACCCGAGAATATTTTATCCATTGATTTTCAGAGAGTGGAAGGGGGGAGGGAATGAGGGAGAGGGAACAGGGGACACTGGAGAGGGGAGAGGGGAGAAGGATCAATGTGAAAGACACAATGATTGGTTGCCTCCTGCGCACACCCCCGACTGGGGATGTGCCCGCAACCAAGGTATGTGCCCTTGAGTGGAATCGAACCTGGGACCCTTCAGGCTGACGCTCTATCCACTGAGCCAAACCGGTTAGGGCTCAAAATGCTTTTAAATACATGCATTTTTTTTTTTAATCACAGGTTTGAAAAAAGAAATGTCCAAAACATTTGTGCAGTCAGGATACCAGGCTTGGTGTATATGTGGGTGTGGTGGTCTCTTGTGATAATTCAGGTCCAGAGACTGAGAAGACCTATGGACAAGATGATCTTCAAACAACTTTCTGACTTTGAGAATCTGTAATTGTTCAAGTTTTTTTTTAATTACTGAATCAGTGGCACATCATGGTAGATTTTATAATGGCCTGTTATATAATATGAGTTAATACTTTCAGTACAGCAGTCCCTCCTTATCAATGGTTTCCCTCTCTAAGTTTTCATTTTCAGTAACTGCATGGGAAAATTTTCCCAGGCATCAACATCGTAGTTCCTGACACCCACTCAATGAGTCAGGATCACCCAAAGCAAATAATCCTTCCGATGTATGGTCAGGTCAATAGTAGCCTAATGTTACGTCATAAAGACTTGGTCATTTACCTCATTTCATTTCACTATCAGGCATTTTATCATTTCACATGGTAACAAGAAGGGTGAGATTAGTACAATGAGATATTTGAGAGAGATACATTTACATAAGTTTCATTATAGTACATTGTAATTGTTCTATATTATTATTAGTTACTATTATCTCTTAGTTTGCCTAATTTATACATGAAGCTTTATTATAGGTATTTAAAAGAAAAAACATAGTATGGATGATTCCCGACTTAACAATGGTTTGACTTATGATTTTTCAACTTTACAAAGGCATGAAAATATGCATTTAGTAGAAACTGTACTTCAAATTTAAATTTTGATCTTTTCCTGGGCTAGCGATATATGGTAAGATACTCTCTTGATACTGGGCAGTAGCAGTGAGCCACAATTCCCAGTCAACCACACATCACAAGAGTAAACTGATATTCTACAGCATAGCATTAAATTCACTTTTTAACTTATATTATTTTCAACTTATGAGTATATGTTGATGTAAATCCATCATTAAATTGAACAACTGTGAATACAGGATTGAGTACTATCTTCAGGCATCCACTGGGGGTCTTGAAACATATCCTTTGTGGATGAGGCCAGACTGCACCTCAATCTCAGATGCTGTCAACTGTGGTTAGGTGCCTTTCTTTAGTGAAATCCTAAAGTCTCCATTAATTAAACAAAATATAAATGTCTGCTCTTCCATTACAAGTATTTGCTATTACCCTCCCCCCAAAAAATAACAGGAATTAGTCTACACTGCACATGAAATCTGAAACCCAATAGAGAAAAGCCCAGTAATTTTATTGGTTCATTTTACATAAAGGCAAACTAAGTCCAAAGACAAAAAACACTGGTTTTCCATTATCATTCACTGATAGCGACCCCTGAACTGATAACATTTGCCCATTCCTTCATTCTCTTAAAAATTTTTACTATTGATCAGGTGGAGAAAGAACAGCTATAAGGCATCAGGATTCTGCCAGTTTTTCAATTAGTTGAAACGAATGCTTAACTACAAAACCTACTGAGGTTGCCAATTTAAAAATGCTATTCAAACACAGAGCAATTTCTCCAACCACAAAAAATAAAATTACAATTAGGGCCAGTTATATTTAGGTAGTCTAATAATAACTCTAGATTATAAGACTAGTATTTGTCATAAATAGTTAAAATACAAATTTGTATTAAAAATGAAATAGACATCTCTCTTACATTGATGTTTCTCCCCCTCCCCCCTCACCACCTCTAAAAAATATCAATAAACATATCCTGGGGTGAAGATGAACAAAATTTAAATAGACATTCTTATAGTTGCTTTACTAAAGTATCGTCTAGTAATTCAAAGCAAGAATATAAGTACAAGCCCACAAATGCCACAAGGTGTACAACAGTATGTGACAGTTTTATTTTGGATAAAAAATATTAAATTATTTCAAAGCAGTTCAAGTTACACAAAGAAGTTAATCTAAAGGCCTCATTTTTTAATGGCAGTCAGGTGAATAAAAAAATTTTTCTGATAAAACTACAAAACACCATGAAATTTAAAAATCATCACAGTGTTGACCCAGACAATGCTGAAAATGAAAGAGCTTACTAGATTCTATCAAATACCAAATGACTGAGGTGGGGTACTATTTGAAAATGCAACGGGGAAAAAAAGGAAAGAAAATGCAATGAAATGTCAAAGTCTAGTTTCATGTACAGAAACTATAGTTTTGGTGACTATTATATAACTGAGAACTTTTATGTATTTGTCATTCATCCACTATTCTGTGATTAAAATTTAAAGATGAACTAGGAAAGGCCAGATAATTTCAGATACATGAAAATGAGACATCAGACAAGTGATGACTAATTCAAAGAATCCCCGGTTTACCCATTAGCAGCACTCAGAATCACCATTTAGGGCTGGAAAAAATGCAGGAGATCTAACCTTTAATCCTCTTATTATGCAGGATGACACGAAGACCAGAGAGAGAAAATGATCTTCCCGCCCTAGCCAGCTTGGGCTCAGTGGATAGAGCTTCAGCCTGCAGACCAAAGGGTCCCGGGTTCGATTCTGTCAAGAGCACCTACCTCGGTTGCAGACTCCTCCAGGCCAGGGCCCTGGTTGGGGCTCGTGCAGGAGGCAACCAATTGATGTGTTTCTCACACATGGATGTTTCGCTCTCTCTTCTACTCTCTAAAAATCAATGAAAAATATCCTTGAGTGAGGATTAAAAAAAAGAAAAAAAGAAAAAAAGACCTTCCCAAGGTAACTATGATGGAGAGCCCAATATAAAGGGCACATCTCCTAGTGCTCACAGTCCATGTGTCCTTCCACCATAATGTTGTACATCTTTTCTATGTTTTCCTCTCCTATTGGAAAAAACCTCTGGCTCTCTCCTGGCCTGGCATGACAGAAGTATAGTAAGCACTAAACTAAGGTAGTTCATTACCACACCAAACTTCCTGCAAAGCTAAACTGGCTTAGCGAAACAGGTCTTGAACATGAACAGTATATGGAAATGATTTGTAAATGTATATAAACTGGAGTTATTTGACCAAAGGTTTCTCTGACCTCTGGTTTATTCTGGAGCTACCATCGTATAATCCCAGTCAGGGATAAAACTCCACCCCACCCCATCCTAGTGTTAAATGCAGCCTGGCCAACTCCCCGCACAGCTGTCGGATACCGAAAGGATTTAATAGTTCAACAGAACCATACAAAGCACCTCAGGGGATACGCCAATGCTCCGCCTAACGTCGGAGAATCTGTTTCAGGCATGTCAGGCTTGGTCATGTGAATGTCAAGGTGAAGTAAAAAAAAAGGAATTTAAGATGCATCTATCCAAAAGGTTTAAGCACTCACTCTCACAGATGGAAAAAAAAAAAAAAAGCCAATGAACACCATTTACTGTCAACCTACACTCACCGTATTTACCCAGCCCCAACCTAAAACACTTCAAAAAAAGGGGGGAGTGGCTCGTTCTTAAAAGGTCATTACCGATTAAGTGCCAGGCCTTGGGAATCACCGAAGCAATTCGCGTTACAATGTACCCATCGTTAATGGAATTTGGTTTCCTTCGCTACTTAATTCAATAATGTCACATTTGCAACGCTAGCGGTAAGTGCTGTGTCACCGAGCAAAACACTGTTCTGAAACCAAAAGAAAACTGTCAAAGAACGTCGCCAGCCCGTGCCCTCGAGCTACTCGGCTCCCCGAAGGCAGCCAGAAATGGCTCTCCCCGAGCCCACGTGCTGCCGGCCGCAGGGAAGGCCCCTGCCCGGCACTGCGGGTCCAGGAGCGCTGCGCCCGCCGGGCTCCACCTCCGCGGCCCAGGGCCGCTGCTCACCATTTCCAGGTGAGCGCCGGGGTCTTCGGGGTGTCCGCTGCCCGGGGCCGGGCTGGCCCTCCCCTCCGGGGTCTTCCGTTCGCTGTTGCGCTTCAAGCCGCCGGCGTCGCCTCGACCTCCAGCCTCTCGGCGCCGTCGCTGCCGGCTCCACAGGTACATGGCCCCCGCGCCCAGCAGCAGGGGCGCCCCGACCGCCAGCGCCAGCTGCCATCGCGGCAGGCCCCCCGTGCCCGGGCCCGCAGCCGCCCCGCCGCCGCCCACCCCGCTCCCAGAGCCGGGCGCTGCCGCAGCGACGACCGCTGCCTCTACGGGCTTAGAGGCAGCCATGACGAGTGTCCTCCGCCACCGCCTCCCTGCTGGTTGCGGGCGCCACAGTCACCAGTCGGCGTGCGCAGGAAAACCGGAGGGAGGGAAGGCAGGCTGGGAGCGAGAGAGCACGCTAGGAAGCCACAGCATACGACAGGAAAGGGCCAGAGGTCACCGGAAGCCCAGGGCATGCCGGGCCAGACCCGGCCGCCCTCCTCCTCCCATCGTAACTGTAGAGGAGGCGGCGGCGGGGGGCGGGAGAGAGAGGAGGGAGAACCACTTCCGGGTCAAGGGAAACAGGGGCCAGAAGGTGTCGGTGGGCGCCCCGGGCAGCCCTTTCTCCTTGCTCTCGCCCCGCTGCTGTTAGTGAGCCTGTCTTCGGGGGTCTTGGGTCTCCGCTGGTAGCCGATGTCCGGCGAAGCCGAGGAGCGGCGCGATTACCCAGGGTTTTATGGCGAGCGGGCGATCAGAGCTGAGGAGAGCTCGGAGGGGCCCCAAGAATGGGCGAGAGTGGCAGAGGATTTGTGAAGGTTATTGGCTGGCAGGGGTGGTGGGCGGGGCGTAGGCCGCGTTGCCCAGTTTATTGGTGGACTTTGGACCCCTCGTTTTCTACTTATCGCCACGTTGGCGCCTCTTAGGAGAATGCACCTCATGCAACAGGAGTCCCAAGAAAGCCAGAGGGATCCCGCTGCCATTTGCTCGATTATCTATGTGTCCTGGAAACTAAGGGATTGGAAGGACTTTTATTAAAGATGTAAGAGAAAAGAGCTCAAAGCTGGAGATAACCTGCTGTATCGCCGATCTTATCGCCGATCGTCCAGATTTTAGTTTGGACGAATTTGAGACGCGGGGCAAGAGTAGATGGCAGCAATCAGACTGGGTGGAAACCGGCAGATCTAGGCTGGCTCTGTCGGAATGGCTTGAATGGGGTCTTTGTGGCTCCCTGTCGCGCTAGTTATGAAAGCAATGAGTCGGTGTGTTGTTACCTGGTTCTCCAACTGAGTGGGCAGAAACGCGCGAAGACTGAGTTACCACCTTTTCTTTATGGGTTTGTATCTTGTATTGGGTTGCGCCTGGCACCCCAGCTCACACCATGCTCCTTAAAGCACCCGCCGCCCTCCCCAGTGCTCTGATCTGCCCAGTGTCCTCTTTTCTGCACTTAAATGTCAGTCCTCTTACCTCATTCCCAAATAGAAATTTTAGTTCAGAGCTTTCACATATTTAATAGCCTTGTCTTCCTCTCCCTGTGCTCTGCAAAGATCTCTTAAAACAAAAATTTTCTTAGCCAGGAATTGTGTGGAATTCACAGTATTTTTAAGGAGAAAAGGCAAGTATTAATAGAGAATCAAAATTCAGAACTGTGGCTCCCTATTTCAGGTATGCCAGTCTGTAGACTGGATGAAAAGGGACCACATGCTAACCTGACTAACTCAGGGAAGTCCTGCCTGGTCGCCTTGCAAACTCGAGACCTAAAGTTACCTGAAGGATGGTCTGAAATTAAGAACGTTAAAAAGCAGTTTATAAAAACAATTAAAAAGGGAAGCAACCAATCAATGATTCTCATTATTTGTGTTTCTCTTCCTCTCTGAAATCAATTTAAAAATATTAAAAAAAATAAAAACAGAAAGTTCATAGTGGGTAGTCATGTTCTAGGCTAGTATCTTCCCTGACAAAGATCAACTTCTGTTTTTACTGAGCCTGTTGTCTTTTTGCATCTAAGGTAACATACCTGTGGAATGTCAGGGCAACTTGTAACTTCCCTTTTCTGGATCCCTCAGGGCACAACAAATGGCATCTGGGTGCAGACTATAAACTTCCTTATTTTTGTTATTGTGTTAATCTTTGACTGTTAACTATCCTATAGCCATCTATGTAAAAGAAGCATGTGTCTATCATTTTACTTTGTATCCATTCCAGAGGTTAAAAGGTTAAAGGTTGCTTTCTCTCACTTCCCTAATCTATCACCAATGGATTTCATTTAACCCACTTATGTCTCCATCTTTGATGGTGAGTTATAAAATAGGAGAAAGACCACCATTCTGTGGAGCATTATCCCAATATGTTGAGATCCTGCTTCCTGTCAATTACCGACAATTTGGCCTAAATAAACTCACAAAAATTCGTTACAGGTTTGAATGTTTTCTCACGTTATCAAGACCTCCGTATTAAAAATTTACAAGTGATCAATTTCCTTTAGGGTACAATGGAGGATGTTCAGCATTACAGTAGCACTACATACAAATGAAAGATAATGTATTAAGTGGCACCAAAATAGATTAAATTAGCATGGCCTAATTTGAAAGTTTCAGAAGATTGCTTTTCTTTTGCTTCATACAGATTCCTATTAGTAAATTGCTTTTAGGCAACAAGTTTCCTTAGCAACAGACTGAAAGATGAGCTAAAGATGATAGGGGTCCACCTGTGGCTAAGTGGTTGAGCGTGGACCCATGCACCAAGAGGTCGCTAGTTCCATTACCCAGCAGGGCACCTGCCCTGGTTGATGATGTTTCTCTCTCATTGATGTTTCTATCTCTTCCTTCTCCCTCTCCCTCTCTCTCTAAAAATCAGTAAAAACATACTTTAAAAAAGATGATAGCAATGGAATTGATCAAATACATTGTAGTAATTGTTGCAGCAAAGGGTGTCTGTCCCTGATTCCCAGCCCCACAAAGCAAGTCTTGTGCCCCTTTACATGATTTTTCCCTTTCCTTTTCAGAAAATTATGACTTTTTTACCTGAAATTTCCATTTTTCTGCAGCCTCATACAGGATTGTCAAATGCTATTACAAACTATTGGTGGGAACTAAAACATTTAAAGTGTTGCAAAAAGACGTATTTATTTATCAAAATAGATAATAGGTTGTTATAGTTACAACCCAAAAGTTACAAAGTGTTTACTGTGAAGTCTTTCTCCAACCCCTGCCCCAGTCACCCAGTTCCTTTCTCCAAAGGCAATCAATGTTAGAGGTTCTTGAAACATTTGTTTAATTAAGATTTATCTAAAGGGCTGTTTTTGGAGACTTAATTTTTTAAAAATAGATTTTTATTTATTTCAGAGAGGAAGGGAGAGGGAGAGAGAGATAGAAACATCAATGATGAGAGAAAATCATTGATCGGCTGCCTCCCACATATCCTACACTGGGGATCAAGCTGGAAACCCGGGCATGTGCCCTGGCCAGGAATTGAACCGTGTCCTCCTGGTTTATAGGTTGACGCTCAACCACTACGCCACGCCAGCTGGGCTGCCAGGCTGGGGACTTTATTTTTAAGATCAACATCAATAAATGAATTGGTTCTTGTTGATTTTATACTTTGTTAATCTGATTTCCATTCCTGAGCCTGTTCATCTGTCCTCCCATTTTCTCCATCATTTCCAAATTGATTAGAGTACATAACTGAGCAAGAATGTCACTAGCTTTGTTACTTTCCTGATCTGATGCATACATGTGAAACAGCAAAAACATAACACCTCTCAGGTTATAATAAAGATTTAGACAGGTAATATTTAAAGTCTTTTTAGTGTAATTCTACATAATAAAAGCCTAATACGCAAATTGTTCGACTGGGAGTTCGGGAGTTTGACCACTCACTATGACGTGTGCTGACCACCAGGGGGCGGTGAGGAACATGGTGGGTGTCAGTGATGTGGTGCTGGCAGTGGGCGGCAGTGGAGGCGCTGCTGGCTAAAATGGGCCCGACAAGAATGGGACCGTGGTGGGATGGTGGAGCAGGTGAGCGGGTGGCACCAGGCCAAGGTGGGTGCTAGTGGGGGCCCAATTGCCCCGCTGATTGCCCCACAGACTGAGACCAGTGGCAGTGGCAGGGGGTGGGGCTGCTGCTGGGCTCCTAGGCGCTGAGGGGACCAGGTGAGGGGGCCCCTCAGCCCCGATTGATCACTCCACAGGCAGGATGATGGAGCAGGTGAGAGGGTGGTGCCAGGCCATGGCGGGGTGCCAGACGGAGCTGTGAGGCTGCAAGGCTGGGGTGCAAGCTGGGGCTGGATCCCCTCAGGCCACCCTGAGGGACCCCACCTATGCACAAATTCGTGCACCGGGCCTCTAGTTTGTTATAAAATAGGAGACACTCAAATCTTTGTTCTCTGTGTTTCTAAATTTTAAAGAAGAAAACTGTCTCCTTTATAAAAAATTGAAGTTTTGTATATGTGAACATAGACATTTCTCCTTTTTTTTTTTTTTTGCTAGATTAATGGAACTCAATATAAAAAGCTTTCTTCACCTCTTCTCTGGTCAGTTGAATGAGGTAAAATGTCTAACTGGCGCATGCAGATCTGAGGTCTTATTCTAGATTTTAATACTACTGAGCTGTGTGGTTATGGGCACCTCTACTTTCTATGTAATGAGACCCGTGGATTAGATTATTTCTGAGGCTCCTCATAGCTTTAAAATTGTATGATTATATACCCTCTATTGTTATTGCTACATGAAAGCCTTTCTGATTGGGAAAGTTGGTGGATAGCTGGTTAATTGGTGTCTAAGTCTTCCAGTGAGCCCACAAACATGCTTATATTTAGTATTAGTACAAACATACACAGTTCGATTCTCTTTGAACTCTTCCTTAGGTTTCCATTCTCTGTTTTTCTTTACTGGAAAGAATTGTCTACACCTGTTATCTCTACTTATTTATCACCCATCATCCAAAATCTCTTAAAATCTAGTTTCTAACTTTATTACTAGTCTGAAACTGCTTTAAAGTATTTGTTTGTTTTTGGTCTTCATATGCTTTTATGGAAGCACTTGACACCATTGGTCATTTACTCCTTGAAACCCTGTTTTCCCTGACTTTCAGGAGACTAAATTTTCTTGGTTCTACTCTAACCAATCTCTAGATAAATGCTGCCCAATAGAACTTTCTGGGGTATTGGAAATGTTTTATATCTATGATGTCCAATATGATAGCCACTAGCCACATTGTGGCTATTGATAGCTAGTCTTACTATAGTTTTTATTTAATTGATTTAAATAGCTTCACAGTTCTGGATGATGATTGTTCTGTAATTTAGTTGTAATTTTGATGTGGTTATGGGAGAATGCAAGTACAGTGTTTACCTCTGCTGCCATCTTTACCAGAAGCCCTCGATGCCTTATTTGAAAATGTGTAACTTATCATGTTCCCTTTTCATTCTTTCCGTTTGTGCAATCCTTTTTTTTTTTCTTATAGTGCTACTATTACCTTACTGGATACCCATAATGGAAACATTAGACCTTTTTCTGACCTTTCTCTTTTCCAGTCCTACCTCCCCAAACACAAGTGGATGTACCAATATACACACATGTAAACAAAATTAGCTGTGAAGCCCTGATGATTCTTTGTAATAGCTCTTAAATATTTTTCTTCCTTTTCATGCCTCTGTCACTTCCAAGTTCAAATATGTGAAAACCCTTAACAGTATGTCTGACACACAATAGGTGCTCAATAAATGGTAGTTTCTTC